TTAAGGGGGAGGCCACCCTTAATGTGCAATACAAGAGTTTTGAAGGTCCACTAGACTTATTAGTAGTAGGGGGTGAACGAACGAGTCTCATAGGACTCGATTGGTTTGAGGCCCTGGGGATACACGTCACAGGACTCAACAGTTTACAAACACTCGACCTACAGAAAGTCTGCAAAGAATTTGCAGATGTTTTCAGCCCCCAGCTGGGCACATTCAAAGGAACACCTGTGTCCTTAAAGCTAGACCCCACTGTCACTCCCATTAGAATTAAAGCAAGAAGGGTCCCTTTTGCTTTAAAGAGTAAGATTGACACTGAGTTAGACAAACTAATCCAACAGGGAGTTCTAGAACCTGTTGACTCCAGCCCTTGGGAGACCCCCATTGTCACGCCTCTAAAGGCAAATGGGGACATTCGCATTTGTGCTGATTACAAATGCATACTTAATAAGGCATTGCAGCAACATGCCTACCCTGTTCCTGTGGTCAGCCACATCCTGGCCTCCCTCAAGGGGGGGGGGCGTGTTTTTGCAAAGCTTGACCTGGCTCAAGCATATCAACAGCTGCCTGTTGATGATGATGCTGCCATAGCTCAGACTATTGTGACCCACAGGGGAGCCTTTAAGGTAAAAAGGCTACAGTTTGGAGTGAATGTCGCTCCTGGGATTTTCCAAAGTGTGATGGAAAACACACTACGAGGTATACCAGGGGTTTGCCCCTACTTTGATGATGTCTTGATTGCAGGAGACTCCACACACATTCTAGCTGAGAGGCTTAGGGCTGTCCTGTTAAGATTCAGGAAATCAGGCCTCAAGCTCAAAAAAGACAAATGCAAGATTGGGGTGCCTTCTACTGAATTTCTGGGATTCAAAATTGATGCTGCTGGGATTCACCCTGCTGAATCCAAACTAACTGCTATTTTAGAAGCACCCAGGCCAAAGTCCAAGGCCGAACTTCAGGCCTTCCTAGGCCTCCTGAATTTCTACAATTCTTTTCTTCCACATAAAGCTAGTGTAGCTGAGCCTCTTCACAGGCTACTAGACAAACAAGCTGTGTGGCAATGGTCACATGCGCATGAGGCTTGCTTTAAAGAAGTCAAGACTTTGCTCACTTCTAACAGTGTTCTTGCACATTTCAACGAGTCTCTTCCTGTGTGCATCGCTTGTGATGCGTCCCCCTACGGGGTTGGAGCTGTCCTGAGTCACCTCAGGTCTGATGGAACTCAGGTTCCTATTGCATACTACTCCAGAACACTGTCTTCTGCCGAGCGCAACTACGCTCAGATAGACAGGGAGGCTCTGGCTGTTGTTGCTGGAATTAAAAAATTCCACGACTTTCTATATGGCAGGCATTTCACGGTCTTCACTGACCATAAACCTCTGCTGGGACTGTTTACCACACGTAAGCAGACTCCCCACATCATTTCCCCTAGAATGCTTAGGTGGTCTATTTTTTTGTCTGCATATGATTTTTCCTTACTCCACAAGCCTGGGAAAGAAATGGGCCATGCTGATGGCCTCAGTAGTTGCCTCTGCCAGTAGTAGAAGCTGACCCGCGCCAGCTGTCAACATTCTATCAATCCAAGCCTTGCCCGAGCTCCCTCTTAGTGCCAGGGATGTTGCCGCTGAAACAGGTACAGATCACACACTTTCACGTGTCCGTTCCTGGGTTTTGTCTGGTTGGCCTGAGCACTGCCCTAGTCCTGAGTTTCAGAGTTTCTGGTCCAAAAGAAACGAGCTGTCCCTTTCTCAGGGTTGTCTGCTTTGGGGAAACAGAGTTGTCGTTCCCACCTCAATGAGGACTAGGGTCTTAGATTCCCTCCACGAGGGTCATCCTGGCATTGTTCGTATGAAGGCTCTTGCACGCAGCCACTTGTGGTGGCCTGTTTTAGATAAAGATATTGAGGCTAAGGTGCATGCATGCCACCTGTGCCAACGATCTCGCCCAGAGATGCCCCAAGCTCCTGTGCATAGATGGGAGGAAACACAGTCCCCATGGTCTAGGGTGCACATTGACTATGCTGGGCCCTTTCAGGGCCAGTTCTTCTTGGTCCTTGTTGACAGCCATTCAAAATGGCTTGAGGTTGTGCCTGTCTCATCCACCACCACTGCAAAGACTATTCAGGTACTGAGGGGGATTTTTGCTGCACACGGGCTGCCAGATGTCATTGTGTCCGACAACGGCCCTCAATTCACTTCCTCCGAATTCCAAGCTTTTTACAGGCAAACCTGATTCGTCATGCCACATCTGCACCTTTTCACCCATCCACCAACGGTATGGCTGAACGTATGTGCGCATCACAAAGGACGCCTTGAAGAGACTCACCTACGGGGACTGGCATCACAGGTTGGCTGACTTTCTCCTTTCTTATCGCACCACACCGTCCACTTCTACAGGGAGAAGTCCAGCTGAACTTCGTTGGGGGCGTCAACTTACTACTAAGCTTGACCGGTTGCATCCTGACAGATTGCCTCCATCTACCCCACATCCTAGGGCACCGAGACAATTACTTGTGGGTGCCCCGGTCTGGACTCGCAATTACGGGCCTGGTCATACATGGGTCCCCGCTTCTGTTTCCAGGGTCACTGGTCCTCTATCCTACGAGGTAGCCTTGGACAACGGTCGTGTCCTGCACAGGCACATTGATCAACTCCGCCCTAGGCGGCATCTTCCAACTGAGACTCCTGGGTCTTTTCCAGGGGGGGAGGGGGACCCTTTGGAGCAAAGGGAAGGGCAAGAGCTACTGTCCATCTCCACTGAAGGAGCCACAAACGGCCCATCCCAGGGTTCCGCAATTGCTCCGAAAAGGAATTCATGGAGCTTACCCACACAATAGGCACTCACGCCTACTCCAGCCAGGGAGTTACCCCGGGGGCATACTCACTTTCCATACACATCACACAGCACTCCAGCCAGGGAGGAAACCCGGGAGCATCCCAACAAATCATTCCCCGCAAGAGAGCTGGCACACAATCCCCAAAGTTGGCCTGACCTTACCCCAAATCCTACAGGGGGGGTCAAACATACACAGAGATAGTCGAGGAACCAAGTCCCGACTACAACACTTCTAGCACAAATCAGGGAACACCTGAGTTTTGGGAAAGTACAGAAACCCACACAAGCCCGAACACAGAACGGGGTTCAGGGAATGGACAGCCTCCTGACAGGTCTTGGACTGACCTAGGAGGTTCTACAGAGACGCCCAGCAGTGGCTATCACTTCAAGGGGCCCGAGGGTCTACAGCTAGGCAGGTCAACCAGGTCACATAGTGACAGAAGCCCTGGCCTGACGAGCCCGGTGGGCAAGCAAGCAGGCCAGGCATCGGGGCACAGTCCTTGGAAGGCACCAAGGCAAAATAAGGAGAACAGCTCACATCTCCCTTCAGTCAGGGAACTTCTGCTAGTAACCCAGAGCTGAGAAGGTCACAGAGGGCAAAGAAATCTCCTAAGTACCTAGAGGATTACATAACATTGCTGGCCAGGCAAAGGCCAGTGAACAGTGGGAGCACTGGGGAGCAGAACGTTGTATAGAATAAATGTTGTATGTTGGTAGTAGTTTTAGCCCGGGGGAAAGGGGTGTTATGTCCCGAGCCTTGCAAACGGCTCGGGCGTTTGCAGGCAGTCCCGGGCAGGTGCAAAGCGGCCCGGGACCAGACAGGCTGTCGCCAGCGCCGTGCGCATGCGCGGGCGCTGGCGCGGGAAAAGTAACACTTTTACCCGGGAGTTGCCTATATAAGAGGCTGCAAAGCGTTTGGGCGTGCCAGAAGCCATCTACCTGTAAGCTGAACGCTGAATAAAGAAACCTGAGAACTCCAGCTGCTTCTCGTGTCTGTTTTCCCGCCACGGACTCAACAGTCACCCCGATGTTGCTCATGGGGAGGGACGCCTGTGGGGGCTGGGCAGGGTTGGGGGAGATGCAGGGGCTCTCCGGCAGATGGGGTGGTGGGCAGGAGTCTCATCCTGCGTGGTGAGGCAAGGCGAGGCAGGGCGGAGGTGCCATTGTTGCAAGGCAAGGTGAGGCAGGGGCTGTTGCTGTCTGACACCATCGGCCCCACACACAGAGGCCAGTGAGCGCATGGGGGGCCAACAATGTCCAACAGCAGCCACAGCCTGCTGGCCCCTCGCCTGGTGCACTCTGAGGCTCCGCAGCCCGCTGCCAGCAGTTCAGAGAAGCGTCCTTTGAGCTGGATGGACGGCCAGCAGCTGAGGAGGCGATGCAGTGGGTTGTACCCAGGAAGAGGAGAGCATGCGAGGCCAGAAGGGATGGGACGGGGGGGGGGAGGGAAACCAGCCATGCTGGGATGCATCCGGCCACATGGGACCTCAGCGAGTTAGCGGGGCTGGTTGAAGAGCGACGGTTGCCATCTCCAGGGCATGGCGCATGTGTCCACAGAGAGGGCTCTGAGTGTCGCCTCTGGCACCCGTGCCATAGGTTCGCCACCAGTGGCCTAACATCTAAATTTTGATCACATGACCATGAGGATGCTACAATGGTTGTAAGTGTGACAAGGGGTCATAAGTCACTTTTTCCAGTGCCACTGACACGGTCACTAAACGAACTGTTATAAGTCGAGGGACTACCTGTTTATTAGTAGGCATGATGTCCCCAACTGAAGATCTGCAGGAGACCGACTGTGCCAACCTTTGTGGAAAAACACCACTTTGAAACTGCTGGCTGAGAGTATTTCCTTATTTCCCAATGGCATCCTTCCACTTTCACTCCGGATCGACTCTTGCCCTCAGCCAGCCTTTAATCCGAATCAACTCATTCCCTTTCACTTCGGAATCCTCTCGAACGCAGAGAAGGGCAGATCGATCTTTTTTTAGCCCCCACAGCCAAAAACCTGGCGAGGATGTCTGATCCGATCCACCTCCTCGTGGTCCCCAATCCACCCCGCCGGCCGCCCAAGCGAACGCAGCCTCAGAACGCGATTGCCAAAGCGTGCTGGGCGCCCATTGGCTGCCGCCTCCTTTGACGTCATCCTTTCCTGCTGCCCTGGTCCCCCTTCCTTCTGCGCTCCGCGCTGTGCAGCTGCGCTGGGCGGAAAGTTTTTCCTTGTTTCTTTTTCTCTGCAACATTTTTTTCGCTTCCGAACTCCTGTCTCTCTCCCCCCACACACACACATTTTCCCCCCTTTTCTGTCCCTCGCCTCCTTTGCAATTCCCCCCCCCTTTTTTTTTGGAAAGCAGGAAACTAGGGCATTTGGTCCTTCCCCACCCACCCCCTTGCCGTGAGTCTAGGAAGAGTTTTATAGCTTGGAAACTACTTTCTTTTTCTTCTCCTGGACGAGAAAGAGGAGGGAGAGACCCTTTCCAGGAAACGCGTCCCGGTGCCGCTCTGGCGGGGCAGTTGCCCCCTCCCCTTCTCCTCCTCTTCTTCCTACTCCCCCGCCCCTATTTGCCTCTGCCAGGGGAGGGGGGCCTTGTTGATTGATTCTGCGCCCCATCATCCCCGGTCTCAAGTTTTTGCCTACGGGACACGGAATCGCCGCGCAGCTGACGAAGCGAAGGGCGAACTCTGAGCAAGAAAAAAAGGTAAGCCTGGATGGATCCGTAGCTCGACGTGAAATTTCAGGCTTAATCTTGGGAAGTGGCATCACGCGGTCTCTTTTCCCCTTCTTGCTGCTGGATTATTCAGTGCACAGGTTTTGCATTGTGGTTGTGTAAAATGGTTCACTCCCTTCCACTCCTGCCCCTCTTTCTTGACTCTTAACATGCATTCACACGGCCGGCTGAGAGGTGAAGCTCCCCATTCGAGGCTAGCGAGTCGTGTGAAGCTGTGCTTCAGAAATCTCTGGGTGGATGGACATGCTGGCGAATACTTTGCCATCTTCCTCACGCTTGGAGAACTTTCCTTGGTTTATTATTTCCCTCCGTTTCTTCTCCCTCTCCAAATAATTCATCGCTGTCTTTGTAATGGGAGAGGTTAGCATCAGAGCTGGGAAGGAAAGTAAAATAAGCTGCGCCTTTAAATAATATCTCTGGGGCAGAGAGTTAAAAAGTTGGCAACCAAGATTTTGGGCCCTGCAAAAGACAGATGTTGATTGCAGCAGAGTTTTTGCATGGAGAATTTGCTTTTATTTTGGATGCTGAAGCCTCAAGTAAGGTTCTTCCTGTTTCAAAAGAGAGAACTAATAAATTACGATCTTCTCTCCAAAAACACAAATTCAAGCTGTTTCAGGCCACTGTCTCCAAAAATGCACTTTGTGGACTGCCCTGAACCCTAGCAGTTTTTATTAATGGTGTAAATGTGTGTGTGTGTGTGTGTGTGTGTGTACACATACACACACACACAAACACACATACAAACATACACTTCTTTACATATGTAACGTTGGCTGCTGAGATTTAAAGTAAGAAATCTGCACAGGAAAATTAAGAATTGGCCAATTTGAGGACTGCTTGGAAATCAACCTGTGCCAAGAAAAATAGTTTACCGGGCTTTTTATTTTATTTTATTTTATTTTATTGGATGGAATGACTTTTTTAAAAAAACAAACCAAAAAAACCTCTGTTTTACATTGTAGGTTTGCAATGCTCAGAAAAAATTCCTTGAATGATGAAAGAAAGGGAAACAACTTAGCAGTAATATTTAGATTTTTTTTTTTTTGTATCATAATGATGACTTTGAAAGCTCTGGGCTTGATGGTGGGGTGGGAATAATACTGGAATTCTGAACAAGCACCAGATTTTTTTTTCTTGCTTTTTCAATCAACTGCTGGAGATATCTCATAAATAAATTTCTAGGTCAAAGTGTGTATCAAGTTCAACTGTGCAAGGGCAAGTTGGTTTCAGTTTCAGGTGATAGGTAACCAGGCTACCCTACCTTTTGCATTCAGCTCTGGTTAAAGAAACCATAGTTTGTTGACTCCTTGGTTTTAACGTGAAAAGGTAGGTTAATGGGAAGGGCAAAGCTGACTGGTCAGCATTGATTTGTTTACAAGCTGATCAGGAAACAGAACTTGGCATGAAAATATCAGCTGAAAGCAAATATCAAACCTGGGTATGCTGTTAATAAAACAAACTTAGAACTTGCTAAAAATCCTCTGGGAACAATTGAAACATCAAAGGAGGTACAGCTAGTCCTCAAATTACGATCACCATTGAGCCCAAAATTAATTAATTAATGCTGAGTGAGACATGTGTTAAGTGAGTTTTGTCCCATTTTACGACTTGGCTTGCCTCTGTTGCAATTGTTAAGTTTAATGACATGATTAAGGTGGCAAAAGGGGGGCACGTGACCCTGGGATGGTGCAACTGTCATGTTCCAAGTATCTGAATTTTGATTACGTGACCATAGGGATGCGGCAATGGTCATAAAAGTATGGAAAATGGTCCATAAGTCACTTATTTTCCAGTGCTATTGTAACTTTGAATGGTCACTAAATGAACCATTGTAACTCGAGGAATATGTATACCAGTAGTGGTCATGGCTTTATATAAATCAACCATTAGAACAGTGGTGATGAACCTATGGCACGGGTGCCAGAGGTGGCACTCAGAGCCCTCTCTGTGGGCATTCGCGCCGTCGCCCAGTCCTAGGCCTTCAGCTGGGTTTTATAAAACCTTTTCACTTTAGGCCTTCACTGTCACTTGCAAAAAAAAAAAAAAGTTCAATCAATCAATTTCAACTTCTCGTGGGAAAAAAAAAGATCTTGCAAAGTTGGAATTGATTGATTGAACTTTTTAGTCCCACCCAGTCTGCCGTTACCACTGTAGCCACGCCCACCCAATAGGCCATACCCACCCAGCACCTGATGATGCATAAGTGGGCTTTGGGTTGCAGTTTGGGCACTCGGTCTCTAAAAGGTTCGCCATCACTGCATTAGAACAATATGGAAGATTGCATGCAGCTGTGGTTACCACGTCTGAAAAAAAGATGTTGCAGAATTGGAAAAAGAGAAGAGCAGAAAAGAGGCAACCAGAGTAAAAGTGAGGTATAAAACTTAATTTTATCTGCTGCCAAGATTAATCTCTGGACAAGATGGGCAGCACATAAATTTATTGATAATAAATATGAAAATATTGCAGTGCTGCATTGTTTCATAGCTTGCAGGAAAGGTGACTAATTGATTCAGGACCAATGCAAAGGATGCTGTCTTCTCTCCACTGGAAAGTTCATCAAATGCATCGGATCAGCTGCCGTGTCACACAGAACACTTGGCCCGATCAGCCTCTGGTTCAGTACAACAGCCATAACTCGGCAACATTTTGCTTTGGTCCAGCAAAATGAATAATGCATGAATCTGCTTGATGTGTAGATGAGGTGAAACTAAACCCTTGTGGACGCTGGGAATAATTAGATGCATATTTCAGGTTACGATCACTGCCTTTTCTTTTCTACTAAGCCAAAATCTTTGGGTCACCTCGCCACATTTCCATGCAGTATTCCAGCGTTGCCTTATTCCACGATGTTTGTCAACTTCACAACCTTGGGATTTCTTGAGGATAAACTGGCTGGATTGCATGCGGTGATCCTTCTCTGAGTTACAAGCTCTTTATTGCAGGAAACAAGTGTTTTTGATGTGTTGGGGTTTGCTTTTCTAAAAAAATAAAATCTGAATTTAAATAGGATATTTGTTTCGCATTTTATCATGGGACTTGTCCTTCTTCTTTTCTCCTCCTTCTCAATCTGGTTTTTGATGAAATACAGGTAGTCCTTGACTTGACTTACAATGGAACTGAAAAAAAGTGACTTATGATTGTTTTTTACACGACCTTTGCAGCATCCCCATGATCACATGATCAAAATACAGATACTTGGCAACTGATTCATATTTATGATCATTGCAGTGTCCTAGGGTCATATGATCCCTTTTTGTGATCTTCTGACAAGCAAAATCGATGGGGAAGGCAGATTTGTTTAACAACCAGTTGCTAACTTATCAACTGCAGTGATTTACTTAATAACTGTGGCTAGAAATGCCGTAAACGGAGCAAAACTCACTTAATAAATATCTCACCTAACAATAGAAATTTTAGGCTCAATTATGGTCGTTAGGTCAAGGACTATTTGTATTAGGAATTAGACACAGTCTTTCTCTTCCTTGGCATGTTGAAGGTATGTGGACTTCAACTCCCAGAATTCCCCAGCCAGCAAGCTTAGAGCAATCCATTGAGTTAGCAAACAATGAAAAACTCCAGTCTGAACCTCATAAAATGCTATTTCCATTTAATTTCACAAACAGCATCATCCTATGCATGGATAGTCGTAACTCAGTTCCACTGTGATTCTCAGAACTTATTTCTGGGAATTCTGCAAGCCATCAGTCTTCATAGCTCTGTTACATGCAGTCATATGTTAGAAAGAATTAGCAAAAATATTATTTTTCCCCCCTATATTTTCTACACCCCATGTTCAGGGCTTACTGCTGATTCCAGTCTACATTTTGGGTGAATTGAGAAAAGGTTTGCCATTTGGGATTATGATTTTGGAATTAAAGGGGGGCAGAAGTGAACTGCTTATTTTCCAGGAATTAATATATTCAGAAATAAGTAGAGTTATCAATAACTAAGATAACTAAGTAGAATTATCAATAGCTCTGGGGAGTATATGTGGGTTTTTTTCAGTGTCGGAAAAATGGATTATTGTTGTGATTTCATTGATTGGGGTTGAAAATGGAAGGGTGACCTTAGTGATTGACAGGTCTCGGTTTGGTTTCTGGATACTGTGAACAGTTAATGCAGCAAAAAGAACTTATTTTAAGAGGGGTCCTTGGTGCTCTCTGAGCTGGATTGTTTTCTTGCAGACATTTCATTATCCAAACTTGGTAACATCATCAGTGCTGGTAAGGAGAGCATTTTGCTATCAGTTTATAGTGGCTTGCCCTGTCAATGGGGATGGTCTTAGAGATTATTTGGGCTGTTTGCTGTTGGCTTCTTTGGCAATTTCTTGATTGAGGTATTGTTTACCTGATCATTGATCTGATGTTAACCTTGGAGTTAATCTATGCTGATCTGGGTGCTGATTGCTGGTAGAAAAGTGCTTTTTGTTCCCTTTTGGGCTGGGTGACAGTCCTTTTTGCAGTCTATAGATCAGTGATGGCGAAACTTTTAGAGACGGAGTGGCCAAAAACTGGCCCCGCCCCTGCTCCACCCTCTGCCCCGCCCCCACTCCATCCCCCACCCTACCTGCCCGCAGGGTCACTCACCACCTCCAGGGCCCGCCACAGATTGCCCAGGCAGCCCAGCAGTGCCATGGCGGCCACATCCTCTGCCCGCACCTCGCAGCATCAACCGCACGCAATGGGGCGTGAGGGCAGAGTCTTGTCTACGCTGCCTGGCTGCCATGTCCTTGGCTACGCTGCTCTGTGTGGGCCACGCTCGGGGGGGCGACTCTCCTCCAGGGGGGCTGCTGGTGAGGAGGGGGTCATGGGGGAAGTGAGGCTGGGGCAATGGCATGTGTGCCCACAGAGGTTCGTGCCATAGGTTCACCACCACTGCTATAGATGTTGTTAATATCTATGTGTCTATTGAGGGCTGATCTATCAGAAATTCCCTGACATTTTTGGACTTGGCTTGGTCTAGGACAGTCA